TTATATTTACTGTCGAGAATTTGCAAATTCAAAGGAGAAAATTGGTTGAGCTTGTAAAATGTTAAAGGAGTGGATGACGACTCAAAATACATTAATATTGACAGAAAACAGAGAATGAGATCCTAGCTAGAGAACTTGTGCAAAAAAGGCTACATTAAACTTGCGAAATTACCAGCTGAAATAGAGGCTTCCACTGAAATAGTTCAACTTTATTTTACAAAAGCAAAATAATGCAAATTCTTCTCCCTTTGCTACCAAAGTTCAGTCTCCTTTAAATTTTTGAAGTTTTAAGTACAGATGGCATTGAGGTGGGGAATTTAGCTATTTCTGCATCATCATACCACACACAACTACCACCAATACTAATTCACCATGTCAACCTGCCAGGAGTTTACACTCATTTGTCAACTTTTTCAGAAGTGACATAAGGTGGCATAACTACAAACAACTGTCCACTGCTGAGAGCATAGTCAATTGACAAAACGTGACAGTGTTAACAGAGTGTGTTCTGAGATTCAGATTTGGTACATTTCTCACAGTTCACTGGGAGACATTGTAATTGTCCACTAGCTGATGGGATATGGAAAAACGTCCCCGATGCTGAGATGAAGGTATGTACTCTTTAATACATCAGAATACAAGCTGCATGCATGACCAGACCCCTCGTTGATGTGTTTATAAGCACAGTTGTGGGAGCAATGAACGTTTACACTTTATGAGGTATATTCCCTAACCCTCATTCCAATATGGAACACATTCTGTAGGTACAAGTGCTGGTCATGTAGTAGTTAATCCTGATAGACATGCAGTTGAGTGTAAGCTAACAGATTCCCTGACTGCTGTCTAAGATGGTGCCAATGATCAGCCTAGCAGACTGTAAATACTTGAGGTTACGCATGGCGTTAAGAGTTCAGTCACATGTTCTTTTTACACAATTCGAATTAATTTCCTGGTCATGCAGGGGAAAGTTTTCAGTTATCTTTCTATACCTGTATTGGCTGGTGTGCACCCTTGTTTTTATTATACATACAATGGTATTGAACTATATTGGTTCCCATCAGCCTATTTTAAAATTATGTAATTTTAAATTAGTGATAACAATTTTGAATATTCACGGGTGTTTTAGGTTAATGTTTGTCCCCACCCCGGGGCATCGAGACAGATTACCTTAATGATTTTAAAAAGTCTACAGTGGCTATGTCACGGTCACGTAATAATGAATCCCACAACTATTCTGGTTTTATATGTATATGTAAATTTACCAAGAATTTTGCTGCCGTTCATAAATACTGATCAAAATGACAACGCTAATACACACGAATATTCACAAAAAATAAAGTGAATTACTGATCAGTCTTAAAATTCAAGGTTTGAAGGTTTGATGTCGAAATTAACCCTCTATGAACCTCATATGTGGTTGGAAGACATACTTACACTGCAAGTACTGGCACTTCCAGCACCCGGACCTCCAGCGCATATGTATGAATCTAATATGTTGCTATTCAGCATACTGTTGCAGGTAGCCTGGTCCCAAAGATTGATTTCAGCCTCCTGTAGACTATTGGCCACGTATCCACCGTCATATAGGAAACCCCAACCTGACACTGTACACAACTCGCCAGCGTGAAAGAAAGAGAGGTCATTGGCAGGAGGCAAACACGCTGGTCGTATGTATTCTGTGTATTCTATGGCAGGCTCTACGCGGAATAACGCCACGTCATAGTCGTTATACCACGGTGGGTATTCATAGACTGGATGCATGATTATCTCATTAACTGATCTTCTTATTTCGGTTGGTACAGAGTCTGCCTGAGATATGAACCCCATACGTAGCTCATAGCTAGAAGCTGAATACCCATCTCTATAAACAAAATGCTTTAAATAAATGGAAGAAAATCACGCACGCGGACAGAGCGGTTGTGAACTATGAACGAATAAATGTGTCGAAAAACATAATCATAATCCATTGTAGCTTGTAGTACATCAAACCGACATAAAACAACATTTACTATTATGTTCATGTGAACCACCTCGAGCAGCTAGTATTTTTGAACAATATTGTATCTTATTTTAGTCATCGAATAAATGACGTAAATTCATATTGTAATAATGCTATACTCAGTATATATTCGCTTACACGCAGTGAGCTGCTGTTAAAATCCAGTTTGGATCAATAATTACCGCTCCGCAGATGTGGCTCCCGTGTCTTAAAACTGAAACCTGCCAGGGCCAGCTACCTAATTGAGCAGCCATACCACCAACAATACGATCAGATCCAAATAATCTTCTTCCACATAACCCTGACCCTAAGATAAGCATAAATGAATGGTTTGGATTAGTTGGCAAAAAGGGTGAGTTGCTGCAATAGTCACGGTGTAAGAACGAGGGGGGTGCGGATTTTTTACATTTATTTTGATACCCCGTAATATCGA